TCGATGACTCTGCGCTGCCTTCGGAACACAAAAACTGTCAGAGACAACATTTACATGAGTACGGCTGTGTTCCAGCAAAAGTGTACTTGTAGACACTGAAATTTGAATTTCATATTCATTTTTGTGTGCCGTAAAAATATTACTGTTCTAATTTTTTAAACTTAAAAAGCCATTCTTACTTTGTAAAAAAAAAAAGGACTCTGTATTTTGCTGTTGACACAGATGATAGATTATAGATACAGAAACGCACAGAGACATAGGGCATAGATAGATACAGATACATAGGTGGATGTGAGATAAGTTCTTCTTGCCATCAGTTCCAAAGAATCAGGAAGAAAGTTCTTCATAAGGGAAAGAGAATAAACCCTCCCATCGTCCACATCAGGGTTCAGGCTTTCTCTGCTACATTGTAATGATTATGATCCTGAGAGGTAGTTACTTAAAAACGTTAAACTTCCTTATCTACTACTGAAAAATAATAAGAGAATGAAATGAAATGTTGTATTTTATAAATTCAATATGGCAACTTGTTCATAATGGGTCCAAAATGAACACTAAGTTTTCTTCTGTTTAAAGTAGAAAATGTCATCATGTGTTGGGAAGTCTCACCGGATTGTAATGATTCCCTTTGCACAACACACTTCCGCTCACCTCACATTGTTCATCTCTCTTTGACCTCTCAACATCTCTGTAATTTCACTCATATGCTGTACAGAGTGTCACTGCCTTTTCTTTCTTTTTTTTTAAATTGAAGAATGGTTGATTTACAGTGTTTCGGGTGTACAGTAAGGTGATTCAGTTACACATATATATTTTTTCAGATTGTCCACAATAGGTTATTATAAGACACTGAATATAGTTCCCTGTGCTGTACAGTAGGTCCTTGTTGTTTATTTTATATGTGGTAATATGTATCTGTTAATCCCTAATTTATTCTAATTTATCCTAATTTATGTATTTATTTATCCTAATTTATCCCACCTGCCCCTTTCCCCTTTGGTAACCATAAGTTTATTTTCTATGTCTGTGAGTCTGTTTCTGTTTTGTTAATAAGATTGTTTGTATTGTTCTTTTAGTTCCACATGTAAGTGCTATCATATGATATTTGTCTTTCTCTTCACTTAGTATGATAATCTCTAGGTCCATCCATGTTGCTGCAAATGGGATTATTTCATTCTTTTTTATGAGTCACAACTTTTTCTTACGGGGGGGAAGTCCTGATTTTTTTAAAAACCCTTCCTCATTGGATATATTTGGTTCATTTTTTTCAAGTATCATGTTAGCTACTTTTCTCTGACCCTTTGTATATTTCCATTATTTTTTTAAATACAGTGACCAAAATGTCCTTCAGTATTGACTTAGGCAATTTCAATACAAAAAGAGACACCAAAAAAAAAAAACCTCCCACTCTAGACCAAACCAAACCAGCAATCCATTTTCTCCACTTTCATACTCAATTTAGTGAACACCCCTGAAGGGAAAATAAATAAATTTGGTTTACACCAATGGCAATATGAAAAACGTGGGGTCTTCCTACTCACCTTAATCGCGTCTAACATTTTTAAAGGCTATTGGGCATATATCTAGAGTTGTTCTATCTATATATCTTGTTTAACACTGAGAATATTATCACAGTGTGTAAAAGGCAAATTCAAGCCATTGCTTTCTGACTCCAGAACTCACTCTTTCACTATTATGTAAGCCTCAAAAACATCCCTTGGCTGAACTCATTAAAATTTTTTATCACTAACTGGGGATTCGATCCTTGGCTTTTTAACTTGCATTTACTGCCCTCTCAGGTGTCATACTTCCTAAAGTTCTATCAACTGCTATTTAATGTCAAGTGTTTAATTTTTGTTAAGCTCAATATAACACACCTTAAGTACATTCCCTTCTTTGATCTGCATGACCGGTGAAACAGGTATCATCACCAGTGTTTCACAGGAAAGAAAACTAAGGTTAAAAAGAGATGAAGTAACTTGGTCAAGGTAGTAGGTACTAAACGCTCAGCTGGAGATGACCCATGGCTTCCTTCCTCCCAGGCTTGTGTTACTACCATCCCGCTATTCCTCTGCCAAGGAAAGATCTGTGCTTAAAAAGCGAAACACACTCTTTTTCTTTGGTGTCATAAAAGTGATGACTCACTCAGTGTGGGGGCAAAACCACTCACCCTTTCTAACGAAATATCTGAAACACATATTTCATTGGACATACAAAACCTCAAGCTGTCATATATGAAGGTTCACCCAGATATGGTACCCAGATGACTAAGAGTCTTCATTTGTATTGGTTAGTGACCTGGGTTCCAATAATCTACAGCATCAGGCTTTCTTTAATTTAAAGAAAGTAAGAAAAGTTTCATTCACCAAGCCCATAGGTCCATCTCTTCCACTCATTTATAATGTGCTACTCTATGAAAGCATCAAGTTTAAATATGATGCTCTGTAGGTCTAGGGAGCCCAGCCAGCTAACTTGCTCTGTTTATTTATGTTGCATGATGAATCACAGCCACGTGATTTACCAGAATGCCGACTCTTGAAGCCCCATCATCATCATCAGTGACTTCATGTATCATCTTTCTAGTGTAACATTGACTGATAAATAATATATAAATGCAGAAAAAGAAATAATGCAGAAGAAAATGAAAAAATCCATCATCACTCCTGCTTGGGCAACGAAGGGTAATATCTTCATATTTATGCCAGTAACTGACATCAGTTTTTCCATCACTGAATGATTTGTTGCGATCTAAAGGAAGACATCAATGAACAGACTGTTATCATTAAGCTAATTATAACCTCACACATTTTCCCTCAATTGTAAGAAATTACATGCATCCCACATTCAACCATATATGCCCATCGTGATCTGTGCCCTTATAGTTCCTGAAACACTCTGGCTTTTGTCTTCATTCCTTAGGACAACCCTACTTACCACCTGCACTGAAACAAAATCCTACTCATGCTTGAAGTCACAACAGAAATGTCACTTCAACTGGTAAGTCTTCTCTGACATTTCTCACCAGAGTACTTTCTGCCTCGCTGTTTGCCTGGCACATCATTTACAATTCCAGGATAGAACCTAAACTCTTACTGTAACTATTTATTCATAATCTTATCCCCTGACGACCCAATATCCCTGGAGAAAAGTGCCTGTGCGTGTTCTACTCATTTCCTGATCCTCAGTGCTTAGCATAAGGTTTACATAGAGCACTTGTTCAGTATATTGTGCCAAATTAATTAAGTGGATAAATTGATTAAATGATAGACTAGGACAACCCATTCTATTACCATCCATGAAGACTGAATTTACAATGCAATTAGTTTCCTTTAATTCAATACTCACTTCCATGATAGCAGCATTAATAGTGGCTTGAAAAGCTACAAAGCCCTTCTCCCAGAACACTGAACTTTCACACGTGATTGTCTCATCCATTACTTGACAATGAGCTTTAGGGAAAGAAGAAGACACCCGTGAGAATGAGATGGGACAGTCTCGGTTACAGGAGAAACCAAAATTTCAGATGCTCCAAAATACATTTCAGGTCCACAACAATGTAGTGGATGGTAAGAGTTCTCAGGGCAGGTTTGTAGAGTTTACCCAGGGAGATACACCGGAGCTGCTTTATTAATGTTCTTAAGAGCAGTGCTCAGTAATTTCTCATTAAGTCTGATAATTCTCTCCGTTAGTCAAGAATGCTTTGTTGAGCTCTTCTCTTTTGTTGTTTGTGTCAAGAAAGCACTATTTTTATTTCATTTACTTATTTTTGATGATTGGGAAGCACTGAGCCAGAGCCTTTTCTTTAGGTTTTTACTTAGAAGTAACACAGGAATAACAGCAAATATAATTTAATAAAAATCTACTTAAGAACAGAGGCTTCACTAAATAAGAATGAATCTCATGTATATTCACAGATTCAGAGTTTATCTTGTGTGTGTTTGCATAAACTTCTCTTATCACACATGTTTCCTTGTGGCTAATAACATAATCGCAAAAAAAATTTTTTTTCTAAGAAGTTACCTGAATGGTCTCTGTTGTTCGTTCATCTTGGGGATTCTATCTCCCCAGAGGAACTTCAAATGATACGAGAAGGTATCATTAAAGATGACTCTCACTGCGTCTGTAGAATAGGTTAAATCCAGCTCGTCCGTGCTTTTTTCATCAGGCCACCCCATGATAGTTCTTCCTGCCACGAGTAAGATTTCCACGTGCGCCAAAGACGGCATGTCGTATTCAACTATGTTAAAGCTATTTGATGCTTAAGTTATTTCTTTACTATAGGCAGTGCTGGTCCTAAATAAGAGATTCACACTTAGAGGGGGTCAGTAGGGGGATTTTAATGTCCCAGATAAAGTCAGAAGTGTTGTGTGGCAGTCACTTTTATCACAAATAGATTGTGCCTTTCCAAATGAATTTGTTAACTGGTAATTTGAAGCACAAGGAAGTCGGAATAATAGCAATGTCAACGCATACATTTAAATCCATGTACACACAGGCCCATCTAAAGTGGAAATATATGTTATAAGTATACACTATAATTACATTTCCATTTGATGATGGTGTCAACATAACCAAACTTCCAAAAGCAGCATAAAATTGTGACACTTGGAGACTGTTTGCTCAAACGACTTTGCCTGTCCTAAAATATATCAGATAAATGAATGGCTGGCTGACTGTTACTGACCAAACCCAGGCCTTTTAACCCATACAATTTCTCACAGTCTGGATTCTGCTGAATTGAGGCTCCTGGTGCCATTCAACATGCTCCTTTGTCCTCTGCATCTCCTGCAGCCTGGCAGCTGCGTTCAGAGGCTGAATCAAACTCAGGTCTAGTCCTCTGGGCAAGACTGTGGGTGGTGGTGTGTGGGTTCATCAGAGAGCCTTTGTTTCAGATTGACTCTCTCTGAGATACTAGCTGCCATGGATGCTCAGTGCCTGGCTCCATTAATTTAGTGGGAAATTTCAAAATGGTCGTGTTCTCTTTGCATCATTTCTTTTTCATTTATTAGTAGAAAGTATTTATCAAGCAGTACTCTCCATCATCCCCTTGGCTATCCAACAGTGCAGTTCACAGGGCATAAATGCTGGTATTTCCCCTTTATTTAGACATTGTCACATAAGAACTGGCTTCCTATCCTCCTTCAAAGGCAAACTTTTTTTTCCAATATCATTATGAAAGCATGGATTTAAATCTATGTTGAGTGGGTTTCAAATCACTGCACTTAGTCTCGCTGGGGCTCAGCGTAAGCCAACTGACCAGTGGGAGTCTCTTCACGCTGGCTGCTGACTCCTTCTGACATCACGTAACCATTCTCAGTGGCTTCCTAGCTACCTGGAACGACAGGATCCCTCACCCTGTCAAGTTCCTGTCCCAGATCTCTTCGTCGCCTTTCTTCCTTCTTCTGTCTGTGTTTCAAGAATACAGGGGTAAAAGAGCTCGATTATTCCATACTTCCTTATTCAGCGTTTCCCACGTTACATGTGTAACAGCCTTGGAATAACATCCCAATACTGCACAACCAGTACAACTACTGAAGGTGTCTTTAGCTCTCGTTCTCAGGTTGGACCGCTCTGCTTTGCAGGGGCTGCTGGGCTCTTGTTCTCTCCCCTGGTCCATCAGACAGCCTGTCGCTCCCCTTTGCTCTCTCCCCACCCCCTGACATTTTATGGTTCAAGGAAACACCTTGTCACTTCGTTTCGTTGTAAGTATTGCCCAAGGTTTCTTGGTTTTGCTGTCTAAATTCTCTCTCAGTTTTCATATGTGTATTTGAAGAGATTAAAAACCACGCTCTCACCACTGTCCAGGCTTCCCAGAATCTTCTCACAAACGTACATTTGAAAAACCCTGGACTATCTCATTCTGACATGGACTGTAGTGAGGATAACCCTTTTAATGTAAAATTTCCTAAATAGGAGACTAATAAATAGAGCAAGAAAATCCTGATATTCAAAAGGAACATGTATCAACGTTGGTGATTAAATCTAGAGACTTGAACATTTAACACAGTTTATCAAGGAAATCTCAAAACGAATTTGTGTGTTTTGCAAATAAGGAAGTTACCATGAGCTTCTAGAAAACATACCTTTCATAAATGGCGCGGAAGCCACTTTGTTCATTATCTCCTGGGTTGTCTTGGATTCAGGTGCAAATCCAATAACGTAATTAGAATCATTAAAATCATCTACATGTCCCAGATCCACTGCAGGCGGTTGATGAAAGTCATTAACTTGGTGTAAATTGGAGGAAAACAGGTATGCAAACAGCTCTAGAAGAAGTGAGAAAAACCATTCCTGCACATCATGGGAGAAAAACAAAGCAAATCAGTAGCTGTCCAACCACAGCTCAATCACCCACAAACAATATAAACCTTTTAATTCTGTTATGCTGCTTGGATTCTGTTTTTCCCTCCCTCTCAGTTTTTCGTTCTTTATCCTGCACTTTTTGAAATATGGCCATTGTCCATCAGGACAGAGCTGTAGTACTAATTCCAATTATAATTAAGAACCTAACTGTATCATACTCTAATGCAAGTGTTAAAGGCTGGATTGCATCATGAACGGCCCAGGGATATACAGTTATATTGAAACCTGAGTGATAATGATAAAGAAGCGTTAGGTGGCATGAAACAGATACGCAGCTTCCACAAACAGGAGCAAGGTCGTATGTTTATCTTCTATGCTGAAGAAGATACTTCCAAAATATTGCTTCACAAAAGGAATGTTAAAAGCCTTTGTCATTGTGGCAACGCTCTGGAACTGGAAATGCAACAGAATGCACTCAAAGTCTAGCGGGAAGAACACACTTTGTCCAGTTATACTTCTAAACACATGGCCTTTAAAACAGGTATAAATCTTATTCTCCAGATGATCTTATTTTAGCTATATCTATAGTTAGTCTATTTTTACAACTATATCGATCTAGATAGATAAACTGGCAGATAAAATATTTGTATTGAAAAGAGATAAAAGATTAGAAGTAAACACCAATACCACTGAATTATCGGTATTTTATAAGTGATCTTAACTTACTTATTACATTTTTCTGAATTTACTAAAGTTTCTACACAAATCACATGTAACCATTCTGATCATGAGAAGAAAAGCACCATCTTAATAGAAGCAAAAGTTCAAAGCCATTGTCCTTTCCTGTTTGCATATGTGCTCGTTATTTCTTTCAAACTGACATCATCTCTGTCCATAGTATGATGGTGTGGAAGTGCTGCCTGTTGTCTTTTGAGTGTTTTTTTTTTAAATTCTGGATGAAATTCTGCCTCCCTTTGACTTGACTCCTGACTTTCTGTACTTACTCCTTTATGAGATTCAAGTGAGTTCAGATGTTACTTGTTATCTCTGCAGCATAAAGACGTGGCTTTATTTTTCAGGGAATTTCTGAATATGAATTTTTTTTCAAAATGCTTCCAGTAAGACATATAATCATGATATACTTTAAAAGAATCTTATTTGAAATAATAGCAAAATCCAGAATTTGAAAAAAAAAATCCAGCCTGCTAATTAGAAATAGAATATAAAGGAAACATTCAACAATGAAGATAAAGTATGTGCGCTACCCAAGAAAATACTTTTTCTTTTTGTAGATATGAGAAGACATACGCTCCAAACCGTACCAACAGGGCCTCTCTTTTCATCCTCCATTTTTTAAGAAAATTCTTGCGGAGAAGCGCCCGCGTTTGCTGAGCCACGCTGAGGTGCCTCTTACTCGTTAGGACCTGTTTATTTTGAAAGGAGAAGGTAAAGGAAGTAAACGTGAAGGTCTGGAATAGAAAACATTTTTCAATCCAACCAAAAAGAAACATCACCACAGCCGTTTCCAACTGCATGCGTAGCAGAGAAGGAAGCCAAAAAGCTGGAAAACACGTGAAGAGACATTCAAGCTCAGCACTGAAAGAAATAAAAATCAAAACAATTATCAGATACATGTAATTCATACTGGTTCCCTCATTGGTCTGACAAAAAGTAGAGACCTTACCAGAGTCAAGTGTTGTCCCACAACTTGGCATTGTTCAGTTTTCTAAGGGGATAAAGGAGCTTTATGTACTGCTAGTGGGAGAAGACGTCACTATTCTGGTGATTCATTACCAGTTCATTACTACTTAGCAGCATCCTGCCGTTAGTCAGTTCTGCTCCTGGGTATGTGCGCCAAGGAAATTCCTGCTCCGGTCCACGAGGGGGCCTGTACAAGGATGCTCATCATGATGTAGGCTATTGCAGCATGGAGCTGTCAAACAAATTTTAATGGATACAGTCTGTAGAATACTGTATAGGATTCAGAAGCAATGGATTGGAATATACTCAACAACATGAAGAGATCTTAAAAACATAGTGCCAATTTTAAAAAACAGTAAGAAACATTGAGAGTGATACCACCATGTCATTTGTATGAACTAACACTACCTGCAATACAGAGTTTTCAAGAACATCCAGGGACTAAAGGTTTTCCGTCAAGTACAATGAAAAGGTGACCCGAAGAGGGAATGGAGGTGGAGTGTGAAGTGGGAATTGTAAATTCAAGAAAATAAATAACCTAAACAAGATAGGAGCTTTGTTTGAATCAATCATTCTGTGTGCCATGAAATCACAGTACGATTAATTCCATCTTTATCAACCTTTTATACATGAAGTCCAGAAAAGTCCCAAGCCAACCATCATTAAAACACACACACGCACACGCACACGCACACGCACACACACACACACACACACTAAACCCAACAGTAACAAAACTCAAAGGCAAGTAGGTAGAAAATCTCTTGAAATTTTAGAGCATTTCATGTTGTTCATTATGCCTGAAACAAGGAGAGATTAGAATTAGTTTGAATACAGGATATTAAAAAGAAAATCATACTAACTATATTTAATGGCACTTTTCTATGTTCCAGGTAGTTCTAAGGGTTTTATAAAAATTAGCTAGTTTAATCCCCCCAATAAACCTTTGGGATATTTCTCCCCATTTTACAGATGAGGAAATTGAGTCATAGAAGGGCAAAGTGACTCCCCAAACACTGCTAATGCTGGCACAACCAGGGATTTAACCCAGAAAGCCAAGTTCTGGAGATCTCACTGTTAATCAGCATGTCAAGGGATCAATTCTCCCTTCAGAGTAAGAGCAGAGATTCTCCCGGCATCCAGCCAGGCAGGGAGGAGACCTAGGAGGGATCCACTCAGGCTCTTTACTCACTGGCTCCACTTTGTGCAGTTGTTATCAGGAGTCCCCAGATGCTAGACCATAAGGAAAGTTAGATTACCTTCAAGAGACAGAGAAAATATATAATTTTTAAGAGAAAATTTTATTATATATACAGAAGGAAAGGTTTTAAATCTTCCATTTAATGACTATAATAAAATTTCAGAAGAAAAAATGAAATGAAATAGAAATGAAAAGCAAACAACACTTAAGATTCCCACTGAAGTCAGTAAAAACATAAAATCTTCCATAATACAGAGACAAAAATTTGTAATCCTCCCAAATTTTAAAAGAAAATTAAAATGCATTTGAAAACAGTGAGAGAGGGAAAAAAATACATGAAATCTTGGGGAAAAAGATCAAAAGTAAAGTATTTGGTAAAGAGATAACGGAAAAGAAGAAAATACAGTTGCAAGAAAAATGCATTATGGAAAATACATTTTGAAGTATGTGAACATAGATTTCAAGAAAATTCACTGTAAAAAGTACAATGGAAATTAATTTTTCAGGGTAATGAGAAGACGTCTATTTACCATAAAGGCTTTCCAGGTACTAAGTATAATGACAAACATTGTATTTTTGAAGTTAAAGTATTAAGAGAAAAGTCTCTAAGAATCAAGTTGACTGTGGGGGTGGGGTAGTTCAGAAGGAAGGGAGTAAATAATAGTATATAATGGAAAAAAAAATTAGCCTACCTTAAAAGTATATGCAAAAAAGTTGATTTCCCCAATCTCCTTTGAAAATTTTACCAAAATGGACAAAAATAAACAAGAACACTGAAGAAACACCCATTTGTGGTAGAACTAGAATATCATTTAACCTCAAACACATACACATTACCCCACTCCAAAAAAGTCAGCCAAATCATTAAAATTTGCTCCAATTAAGGAAAATACACAAAGAAGTTTTTCAACTCTCCTGACTAAAGTGTGCATATTAATCTAGAATTAACCAAGGAAATTAATTTAATCTACAATTATTGAGAGCACTGAAAACTACACAATATTTCTTTGCTTAAAATGACCTGTAGTGTTAAAGGTCTGGACAGACCCGTGGGGTCTGATTCTGCATTATGGAAGATCAGGCAGGTTCAGGGGGAAGGAAATCTGCATGGATACTATACTTCTGTTTTCTCCAGTTCCAAGGCTAAGATATAGAAGGTGAAACACCTTCACACCAATGGTAAAAACAACCATAACCCTAACAAAATTAAAATCCTATTTCTCATGGCACTGGCAGAAAAACAGTATATGGAAGGAACCCTTGTTGAAGTGAATTCCCAAGAAAAACAGGCCCATGATAGGGGGAAAGACAGCCAAGCATCTCATCTAGTTTTGGGCAGACAGAGAAGGCAGGTCTGCTGGAAAGACTATTTGCAAGAACGAGGGAAAACAAAAAATTTAACCCGTAGATGATAGTACGGGTTAGATGGAAACAGTGGAATCTAAGAGACCAAAATGCATAGGGAAAAAAAGTAGCCTAAACAGTGTTTTCTTCACCCTACAGCCATGTTAGACATCCCCCGACTGACCCCCTCTCCCTCCTCCAGGAAAAGCAACAGTGAAAAAGGGCCTGACAAACAGAGAACCGCTGAAGCTCTGTGCATTCCCGGATGCCTGGATTTGGAGGCCCTGCCAGAGACGGGCTCCTATTGAAGAGGGATGGAAATCATAGGTTGCTATTGTCTCTTTCATCATTTTACCAATGAGGTTACTTCTGGCTACTTGGTTCATCGCCTAAAATCCTTATCTTACCCATGGGGCGAGAACAAAGTCATAGATGGGCTGGCCCATGCTGGCGTTTGTGGGGAGCTCAAATGGGAAAACCACCTACTCAGCGGGCAGGGGGCACTGCCGGAGGGAGCGTCTGACCACGTTTTATTTCAGGGAATACTGTGCGGCTGCTATCTCAGTCTGAGAGGGCAGGAATAATCGAAGAGGAGCATGGTAGGCAAAAAAATGGTCCTGTTCTAATCCTATAATGGAGCAGGACCCTATTGTCATAGGTGACAATACAGTATTTGTAACTGCTTAATTGTATAATAGTTTAAATGGCTTTTCGCATGCTCTTGCCGTCCAGGGTGGGCTGGAGAAGAGTGGGGCTTGGGTGGTCGGCCCAACTCCTTGGCGGTGCCATGTGTAGGGGTCCTGTTCAGTGCCCTGCCTTAGCTCCCGACACCTCAGAAAAGGCAGTTGGATGGTTTGTGTATCACCTTATCTGTAACTCACTAATGTCCGCAGTTCTTTCTTAGCCACTTGTGGTTTCTTTGTATTCTGTTGTTTGAGGTCCCAGCCTGCAGCAAGAGGTCCCAGGCCTCAGGCTGACTGAAATGCTAGAAGCATATATCAACCTGACTTTAAACTGCACAAGATTTTCTCTGGAGCACTTTTCCACAGACACCCTCCCTCAGCTCCCTTCGTCCCAGACTCAAGAATATTAGGAGAGTCCCAAAGCCAGGGGGAAACATCATACCCAACAGAAGGAAGGGGACCATTGCATCTGCAAAAACAAGGACGACTTTGCAACCATTTGTTACCCTGTATGTGATCTCTGTGGAAACCAGCACTGCCCCTTGAACTCTTAAACTTTTACCATAAACCCCCCTACCTTTCCTCCTCAGCAGGCTTGCGGTCTTAGAGGTGTTAGCCCACTGTGACCTCCTTTGCCTGGCAAAGAAATAAAACTTCCTCTTTGACTTCATCCAAAACTCTGTGCCCGGGTCTCAATTCCATAAGCAAGGTATGGAGGCTCAGTTTCGGCAATGATTCTGAACCTTGTGGATACATGACATTACAGGGCAGAGGAGAATTAAGGCAGCAGGTGGTCATAAGGTTGCTAACCAATGGACTTTAAATCAGGGAAGTAATCTTCTATTGTGTGGGCAGACCCAGTGTAATCACAAGGGCCCTTAACTGTGGAAAAGGGAGGCAGAAGTGGAGGTCAGACAAGACCATGTTAAAAGGACTCAACCCGTTGCTAGCTTTGAAGATGGAGAAGGAAGGGTGTGAGCGGAGGAATGTACATGGCCTCTGGAAGCCGTGAAAGAACAGAAGGCAGAGCTCTCCCCTACATCCTCCAGGAAGCAACACAGCCCTACCAACGTCCTGAGTTTAGTCCAGTGAGACTCAGGTCCCAAACTGTGAACTGATAAATCTGTTTTAAGCCGTGAAGTGTGTGGTCATTTGTTAGGGCAGCAATAGAAAGCGAACCCAAGCAGTAAAAGACGAGTGTGAGAGCCTGAGGACTAAGGACAAGACAGGAAGGAGACCCTATAGTCAGCCTAGGTCTAGGACAAGGGCTTTGGGACAAAAATAGTTGCTGGTGCTTCCTTGTGTGGTGTGCCTCTTTCATGGACCACACCCACGTGTAAAAAGTGCCTAAGAATGGATGTCAGGATTCGGAAGCCTTGTGGATGAGCTCCTGATAATAATGCCGTCAGAGCCGACAGGGACAGCTGGAGACCCCAACCAAAACCGAACTGAAGCATCTCCAACTAGGAAATCACTGCTGAGGCAAACCATGGCATCCGAAAGGGCTAAACATGTTGCCTGGGGCCTGTTCTTTCTCCTCTCTGTGGATGAGCTCAGGCGCTGGGCCATGCTTACGACTGAAGGACGATGAACATGCGCTGTTTGCCATGATTGTGGCTGGCTGCTTCTGGCTGCTAAGACTGATTTTTTTTCCACTGCACATCCTGATCAGGAAAAAAAAAAAGATTAGGGAAAAAAAACCAAACTATTCACTGTAGTTGCATAAAATATCTAGTTAGCTTAAATGGCTCTGAATGGTATAGGTCATGTGATCTAGAAATAATAACTTGGCTATGAAAACCAGTCACTTCCCAGGCAGAATTCCCAAGATTCAGAGCATAGATACATTGCACAACAACTTAGATCAAAATTCTTAAATAGTTAGTATGACAAAGAAGCTCAATCAAAATATTACCTTAAGATTTTTTGATAAAAATATTCTCAAGCCTGTTAAATCAACTTAAAACTCAGAAAACTGAGCATCCTCCAATGTTTATAAACCCTCTGGCAGAAAAACTGAAAATCAACAAAAAAGAATAAGCAATTTTAATAACGTGGGAAACAGCTCATACTTGCAAAGAGGCAACATAAGGTTACATTCCTTTCAATTCATCCAATAGTATATTAGATAACATATGCTATTTGTCCAAACATGCTTGTCATGGGGTAAAAATGAAAAAAATCTTAGTTCTCCAACTGGTTATTTAGCCATGCAATAATAAAGACTCAGATGATTTGAAAAATCAAAATGACTAACGACTTACCGCATTTAATAGTTTCCATCCAAGTGTTTGGCATTCCCTATTTGAAGTTGCACATTGTATTTTCATATGCAAAACAACCACAGTTTTAGAGGTTAACTTACTCTGAGGAAGGCTGGAGCAAGAATCTGGGAACAGCTCATCCACGTGTCTCTCTGCGTGTCCTGGAGAAGAACTCACGTTCCTTTTGGGTCACTACTATATCATGCTTTTAACTTCATGTTTATTGTTAACAGTTCTGTTTAGAATGATTTCCGAAAAGGATTACGGCCTTAAGTCAGCCAGGCTGCCAAAAAATCTTTGCTCACGTCACATGGCGACTTCTCTACAGTTTTCCGTTTCTTTGTCTCCCCGCCAGTTCCTCAGCAGGGAGTTCATAGTTGCAGATGGCTGGCTGAACACAGAAAAACATTAGGAACTATCAAATCAAAGGGAACATAGTCTTTCTCAATTAGCTTTTTCAAACAAGGCCCGCTTGGGAGAGTTGACCCCCAACACAATCTCTTAAAGAAACAGTTCAGAGCAGAGCAGAGAGAAGTAGAGAAGAAAAAAAAAATGTTTTTTAATGATAGCTGTACATACAAACAGTTCAGAAAGTAACTCAAAACCTTCCACTGAAATTTAGTTCTTAAAACCTGGATATAGAAAGACGGCAATGAAGCAGCGTATTTTTTTTAAGGGTAGCAAAATGAACTTCGAATTTTCATCTGCATCTTGTTGAACTGCATGCAAGATACCTGCAGCATCTTTCTTGAAGTGGAAAACAGGAGAATCCTTAGAGCAATGTCACAGACACGTATCTGCATTCCCAAGACCTAGATAGGCTTGTGATTTCTGCAAGTCCCAGAAAGCAAAGCACCTTCTCTACAAGCCAACACTGGTTTTTAGTATGTCCTGTTTTCCATATTGTTCAAGAAATATTTTTTTAACAGATAAGAGCTGCCATTCTATCTTTCTTGTGTGTGTGAACATTTCAGGTAAGTCAAAGACAAGGCAATTCCAAATCTTCTTGTATTTCATGGAGTTCGTCTTTGGCTGAAGGAGAAAGGTGAAAAGGACCACCCTCTTTCTGCTTGCTGTCAGTCTGTTACATTCCTCTGCATTATCATTACTCCCTGAAAACACGGCTGAAGGGAAATACTGTGCTACGCATGCAATTCTCACATCAAACAGACTCACCTGTGTCCCACTGGCCAGGGTAATTGCATGAAACTTCCTCCCCTACTTCTCGTTCCCTCAATATTTATTCAATCATGCTTACTTTTTGGCTAATTATATGGGCCCAGAAATTGCTCAGCTAATAAAATAGAGGCAGATGGAATTCAATAATGCATGAGATAGTCAAGCTTTAAAAAAGAAAAAAAGACCGTTGTTCCTGTATGTCTGCTGTCTGCTGTAGGAGATACAAGATTACATATTTAATAACGCTACTAGCATTTTGTACACAGAGATTCAGGAAATTTTTTTTTCAGTAACTGTTTCCTGGAAGAACTTTGTATCTAGGAGAGAGCTGGCTTCTGGACTGTATTCTTTTCTTTCAATATACTGGCTTCTTCCTTTACTGCATGGTAATCTCTGCAGCATTGTAACCGAGCAAGCCTACCCTCGTTCAACTTCCTTTTCAACATTTTTTTGATCAAGTCATGTCTTCACTCTTCTAAACAAGCTTTAGTCTCAGCTTGCCAATTAAAAAAAAAAAGAAAGTCCTATTAGGATTTCACAAGTGGAATGGCACTGATTTTATAGCATGATGTACTTACTGAGCAACCAAATAGGACACTTCTTATATGGACGGCACACAAAAAATATTAACGCATTTAACCTGCACGATAATCTCATGAGGTAGGCATTATTATGATCATCCCCACTTTACAGATGAGAAAAGTGAGACTCTGAGTTTAAATAACTTGCCCAAATTCAAACAGCTGGTAAGTAACAGAATCTGGGTTAAAACACATCTCCAGTCTGTTATCTCAAACAACAGAGTCTCCTGAAACAGTATACTTTATTTTTCTTTTCATCTCTTCTGCAAATCTTTTACTTTCCACAAGGGGATATAAGTCCCTAGGGTAGCCAGTCCATTTCACCAGTCATCTGATTGTGTGGTCTCTAGGCTTTCTTGTGGTTTTCCATTTCTCCATTTCTCCACTGATTGTTTTTCCTCTGTTCCTTGTTTTAGGTTCCCCTTGCTCTTTCTTCCTCTTCTCGTCTGGAGCGTGCTGAGTGAGACCTTTCTGGTATTTCATTGTCCTGGTGCTCGCCTTTAAATGCTGGGAAGTGTAGTTGAACCTGCCTTATGCTGGCAATGCAAAAAAGGCAGCCTGTATCTCTCCCTGTCTTCCCTCCATGGTCTGCTATGGACATACGTGCCTCCTTCCCACCCCTTCCATGATAAGTCCTTCAGCATATATGACCTTGAAACCTTAGCTCTCCTCCTTGCTAGCTGTGCAACAGTGGGCAAATGATTTACTCGAGAACCCTCAGTTTCCCCACCTGTAAGAGACAAATAATACAATAGTATCCAATGGGGTCACATAGAATTTAAAAATTTGGGATTTGGGGGTAGGGTAGAGTGAACACTCAGTAAATGCTAGAGATTATATTCTCCAGCGCCTTTCCCAAACTGGAAATTATAGGTATTAATCTAATGGATGAAAAATACTACCACTTTGATTACTTAACATACATTTCTTGGATTATCTGTGATGCCAAGCACATTTCAGTTTAATTTTTGGCCATTTGTAGATTATTTGACTAATAAATCTGTCCATTTTTTTCCACCTGTATTTCTGGTACTCTGCCATTCTAGGTTTTTTGTTTATGTGTTTGCTTTTGACCTAGAGAGAAAATAACTTAAATCATTCACTTAAAAATATGTTGCTGCCTTCTCACATCTAGTTCTGCAGCTGAGAATGCTTACATAACTTTGATCTCATTAACTTGAGGCATTTTGTTTTTCTTGCTAGAGTATGTTAGGATTGTCTCTTTAGCCACAAGTGTATGAGATTTCATGACACTGTGCCTCTGTGTAAGTTTTGTTTTGGTTTACAGTTTTATTTTTTTGCCCTACATGGCACTTTGTGGTCACTTGCATTCAAATAATTTGTGTCTTCACTGTGGAAGGTCCCTAAGAGCAAAATAAAAATAGAACTAGGTATATATCTGAAGAAAATGGAAACACTAATTTGAAAAGATACATGCACTCTGATGTTCATTATTTACAGTAGCAAAGATATGGAAGCAACTCAAGTGTCCATCAACAGATGAATGGGCCAAGAAGATATATATATATATATATATATATATATATACATACACACACATATATACAGACACACACAATGGAATACTGCTCAGTTATAAAACAGAACACAATGCTGCCATTTGCAACAATGTGGAAGAAGCTAGAGGGTATTGTGCTTAGTGCAGTAAGTCAGAGAAAGACACTGTATGTTCTCACTATATGTGGAATCTAAAAAATAAAACAAATGAGTGAATATAACAAAGCAGAAACAGACTCACAACTATAAAGAACAAACTAGTGGTTACCAGTGGGGAGAGGGGAGTGGGAAGGGGCAAAATAGGGGTAGGCGATGAAGAGGTACAAACTACTATGTCTAAAATAAATAAGCTACAAGGATATATTGTACAGCACCAGGAATCGAGTCAAAATTTTATAACTTTCAATGAAATATACTCTATAAAAATACTGAGTCACTATGTTGTGCATCTGAAACCAACATAATGTAAAATCAACTATACTTCAATTTAAAAAATGAAAAATGTGTCTTCTTTTTAAGATCTGGGAAATTTTCAGCTAATACATTGGTCAAAAAATTGCCTCCCTCCTAGTCTATTTTTTTTTTTACCTGAAAATTTATTAGGTATTCGAGATCTATTGTCCTTGTCTTACCTTTTGCCTCTCTACCATCTTGGAACTGGAAAACAATCCATTTCACACCACAAGTAAACAACATTTCCGCTGTACAGTTTCTATAACGCTACTCCCATTGTTACCTTCACGGTGTCGCCATTTCGCTGCAGAAATGCACAAGACTTTTCATCATCTGGTCCTTGCTTCTCCTTCGCCTTCCTTTGCCTTAACCTTTCCCCCAAATACAGGCATACTTCAACATGATGACTTTTTAAAAAAATGTATACACTGCCTTCTCATTTACCTCTACTGTTTCTCCAGGAATGAGACCCTCCGCTCAGCTGGTCATCCCATGATGACTACATCGATCTGCCTAATTCTCACCTGTCCAGCAGGTCTCAGGTCTGATGTCTCCTTCCCCGAGGAGAGCTCCTATGTGGGTTAGGTGCCCCTCACCGGTGCTCCTGTAGCACACCATGGTTACCACCATTGTAGTGTGTACCTCACCGTATTTTAAACTAATTATACTCATCTCTCTTCCATCCTAGATTGTAAGCTTCTGAAGAGAACCACAGAATCCTTGCTGCTGTACACATCTCAGAGCCTGGGACATGAAAGTTGCTCAATACGTTTACTCTGAGTTTAAAAGATATAATGTTGAATGTAAGGTAGTGAAGCAAAAATAAACAAAAACTAGCATTTATTATTTCCAGAAACTTGATTATGAAAGAAAAGTCTTTGTTGGCTGGTAGCCAAAA